TAATGATCCAGGGTCCTGTGTGTTTTCTCTGCCCAGTTTGCTGTGGCTGCCCTTGGGACTGAAGTGTTAGCTACAGCCTAGTGATTAGAAAAGGCACTTTTCACTTCTGCTGTGAGAAATGACCAGGATAAAAAAGGGTCTCAGACCTCCCTTGAAAATGGCTAGCTTGGCCCTCCTGTGGAATTTTCAGATTGTGGGCTTTTGTTTCGTAGCTTCAAGACTGAGAGATGCCAAGAAAGCTACACACCTCATCTCCAACCCTGACATAGCTTATGTTGTCGAGCTGGACTAAGAAGATGGATGGCTTAGTGGGTGGGACAGGTAGAGTGGGGTTGGCTAGGGATGATGGCTGAGGGCCCGCACTTCTCAGTACTTAGGCACGAGCAGGCTAGGCCTGCCCAGAAACTGACACCCAGGCAGTAATGTGCTGTGAGGGCAGGGACGGTGCTTGCTGATGCTGCTGTATTGCTATGCCCTGTGCAGAACCTGTGGCCCATTAAGTATCCAATAAATAAATGTTGGCTGAACTTCTTCTGATCACTGAGCTGTTGTGTCTGAGCCTTGGCTAAATATGGACCAGTTGCTTCCAACGGACCAAGACAGGCAGCCTGGGAGTCTCCAGAAGTGGAGCTGAGTGCATCAACAGTGGTCAGACAGGCGTGAGGAGATGAGCCATCCTCAGGAAATCAGGCTTCTCCTGGCAGTCACAAGATACAGGCCCAGGGCTCAGACACAACATGGGACAGCCTGGAAGGTCTAAGGTAAGTTAGAGTGCATCGCAGATGAGTGGTACTCAAAAACCAGGGAGGTGCCATTCAAGACTCCAGGCAGGTAGCAAGTATCCAGAAAAATCAATCTTTAGGAAGAGGGTTTTAGGAACCAGGTTGGGGATGTTCTGTGTATGGGGTTTGGAGGGAGGGTCTTGCAAGAACAAGACCAACCTCACATACTACATAGGACCTGGGACTTAAAGATAGAAGATCAAGGCAGGGCAGGTACCCAATAATCAGAACTGGTCAGACTCCTGGCTAGGTGACCACCCCAAGGCACAGGGATGGGTTGAGGCATTTGGCTTAACTTTATCCTGTTACTGAGGTTTGGAGCCAGGCTGGGCCTGGAGATGGGGTTTCAGGTGTTGTGCCAAGAGAGAAGAAGGTTTCAGAGATGGGAAACTAGGCAGCATCTGGCAAAGGAGTGGCTTTTACAAAATAAAATAAAATAAAATGTTGCATCTCCCCGGGCCACAGACAGAAGGACAGGAGCCTGGTGGTCCTGGACATGTTCCCTAGGAATCAAGCTGGTCAGCTATCACCTGTGATCTTCCCCCTGAACCTCCAACTTTGTTCAGGAAAAAACACAGGCAGAAGAAGGCAGGTTCCTGCCCTTGGAACTTATGGTCTAGTGGGGACAAGACCATGCATTCAATGAAGCTCTGAGTGAACACAGGTACCAACAAACCCAATTAAGACCACTGAAGAGACACCACTGCTGCAGGTCTAGGGGAAGGAGGGGACTAAAGGGAGATGTTCCCCAGGAAGGGAGAAGAGTGACAGGGTTTAGTATAGTCTAAAAAAAAAAAAAGTAAGATTCAAGGAATAAACCCTTTCAATAATTAAAGTCATTTTTATAGCTTCTCTATCATCATGCTGAAATGAAACCTCCTCATCTTACACACTGACTTCTCCTTAGAACATGCTCCAGCAGATATGGCTTATTTCCTACCGAATCAGAGAGAAATGACAATTCCCTCTGGAGCTTTCTTTCCCAGGGGCAGGAGGGTGTAGATGTGGATTGCTCCTTTATGCCTCCAGGTTTCACTCTGTACCCAGAAGCAGAGAGAGGGGGGTGGTGTGGTGGGGGCTGCAGACCCAGGGCCAGGGCAGGCCGTGGAGTGATCCTGTTCCCCTCTGAAGGCAGGAGAGGCCCAAAAGACTGCCGGGCCTTGTCTTCGCAGACCTCTGTCCCCCAGGAATGTCAGGATGCCTCCAGGTCCCAACACCCGAGCTCCTGGGAGATCATCGTGGTTGCTCTTGGCGCTGTAGGATTTTGCCCACTGGCCATGAGTGGAATTCTCCACAAAGTTGGAGGCACTTGCTGTTTGAGGCTTAGCAAGATCCAGAGCTCCTGACTCCCGCCACAGTGAAAATTGCCCAATGAGTTCCCCTAGTATGCCCTCGGGGGGCGGGGGGGGGAGGCAGCCCATGTCTTTCCTCAACACCTCCTTCTTCTAACACATTCACTGTTGTGTCCTCTTAAGTTTCTAGACTTTTCTTGTTTAATTTGTGTGGACAAAAAGCATTTAGCAGCTTTCACTGTATTTGTCTCTAGGTACAAAGAGAGGCCTCGCCGGCTGAGGTTCAGAGGAAGAGCACTGTCAGCAGAGGCACGAGGAGCAGGATTGTGCCCACAACCCAGCTCCCTCCTCCTCCTTGGTCTCAGTGCCTCGGCCTCACATGGGTGGGGAGCACCTCATGTCTAAGTCCCATGGCTTTGGGGAAGCCAACAAGCGAGCAGATGCCAGAGAGCCATTGCCACTGAAGTTAGTTATCATGTTTAAGGCCACTACCAACTCCAGGACACCCACGCCCAGGCAAGCCAAGGCCTCCTTCGCACCCTCCCATCCTGGGCCCTGTCAGCTGGACCACTTCCTCTAAATGGTCCCTTTGCCTTCCCAGACCTGGAATGTCTCCCCAAAGAGAAATGTTGACACAGATGAGACTACCCTGCATCAAAGCTAAAGAATAGCCCCAAATAAACCTAAGTAAAACATTTCACCAGTTCTGACAAAGGACAAGGTACTTCCATCCCCACTAGGTGTCTGATGGAAAACACAGGCTCCAACGGGCCCGGCTTGCTAGGACCTTAAACAGAAACCAGGCCAAGGGGCAAGTGAAACCCACCAGCCTGCCAAGCAGAGCAGCCTCAGAGTTACGTGCTCCTTGAGAGCCCCCCTCCTCTGCCAACAGAGCCTGTTCCCCTTCTGAGTGAGGATGGAGAGGACATTGTAGAGCCGATGGGGCAGGAGATAACAAAGGAAAATGTGGTCTGGGCCAGGTAGTAGGTGCCCAACTTAGACCCAAGGGCTCTTGGGGCTGTAGAAAGTGCATTCAGGAAGGCTGCACAGGTCTGGTGGGCAGGAGGAAAGGGAAGAGAGTGAGTCCCAGAGAGCCCTGACTTCAGAGTATTAGGACTGCGATCACCTACAGAAGTCATTTCCAAAGGGGTTTATTTTTGGTCTTGGTTTCTTTACATTTCTTTGTTTTATTTTTATTTTTAGTAGAATTCTGTTCCTCCTCCCCCCACAAAAATAATTAAATAAAAACAGAGAAATGAAAAATGGTTCTTTCTGAAGTTGGCGGGTTGCTCCTAGCACCTCCCACAAGCCCTAGAGCCCCCAGGACATGGTGTGGAAAACACTCACTTGGTCGAGCCCTTCTTTCAGTGGTGCTCCAGCCCCAGGTGCCTGGCTCCTAAACCAGAGGAGGGGCCCTTGGCTACCTGGCAATTGAATATTCAGGGCAGCTAGGCCTGGTCCCTGTCCACAGGTGATGCTCCCACCTATTCCTCGGAGTCTCTCACCTGGTCTTGCCTCTCTGTGGTGGGAGTCGCAGAGGTGGCAGGATGAAGAAGTTGGGAGCATTGGAAATGTTTCCGCCACACTGGGAAGGGAGCTGTTGTGGGAAATTGTGTGCCACCTGGAGGACCAAGTGTCTTGCTTGAGCTCAGTGGGAAGGCCCCGTTCAAGATGGTTTGGCTCCTGCTGATGCGGAGGCTGCCAGGCCAGGCCAGATACTGGCCCAGGGGAGAGGGGCAGGGACGAGATCACCCCCAACACACCCTGTGAGGTGCTGCAGACTCCTACACAGGGAGTGTCCCTCGCTGCCTACTGGTCTTTTCCTCAAATCCTGCCCTGTCTCTCTCCAGTGACTCAGGACCACAAACTCAGTCATCATCTCCTGCTTTACCCCAGTCATCCTGGCAGCGAGCACATGCCATCTTCCTGCTCCCGACCTTGTGGCCTCCCATTCTAGAGCATTCTCAGTCAGCTTATGTCCCCCATGTCCCCTCCTCCCACCCTGGGAATCTGCAGAGAGGTGCCTTTTAGCCAGTCCTGACTTCATAGCTGCTTCTACCCAGGAACCTTCCTTCCTGCTCCATCGTGGCCTTTGGCTTGGTCTCCCCCTGTTCCCCCCCCCCCCCCACCCGCCTGCGCAGAGCACCAGGAACACGGCCATCCCACTGCTGCACTCTCGTGTGCCTTTATTGAGCTCCCACAGAGTGTGTGGTACTATGCTCCAGGGTTCGGAGCCATGGTCTAGTCAAAAGGAGATCAAAGCTAGTACAGAGAATGTTTCATAGCTGCTTACATCTGGTCAGGGGGAGGGGAGAGGAGAGCTAATCACAAAACAAAGTCCTATTCCAAAGCAACAAAATCTCCTCTGGGAGTAATAGATATTCTACGCGCGCACGTGCACACACGCCCTGGATGGACACTTGGGTGCACCCAGTGGTTGCATATGCATGCATATACAGTGTTGTGGGTAAGTAAGCGACTGTATATGCTGTCCGTGCGCAGGCACGCACACACCACCGCACAGACAAGATCTGGCTTATTCTATCAAAGACACTAGCCTCCAGGTTCTAGTGAAGCCTCTGCCCTAGATGCCTGCAGCATGCAGAACCTGGAGATCGGAGAGTCACAGTAAAGGACAATGGGTATACATGGGCGCATCTGTCCCCGGGCCCAGCCGCGGCACTGGAGGTCGCTAGTGGTCAGCGACAGCAAAGACATTGTGAAGGGCTCACAGAGCAGAGCTGAGCAGCTGGAAGTCATCTTTCCAGTGTCAGGGCCACCTGAGCCCTGGCGAGTTCCCCAATCTTCAAGGCAGAATTTAAAACTCTGGTTTTCGAGTGAATAGTCCTGCAAACAGTATTCTCGTCACAGTGCCGCAGATCGAGGTGAGTTTTTCTCGCTTGCTCGCTGCAGCTTCCCACGTGTGCTAACGCATTTTGTAGTCATTAGATACAGATGTTTCACACAGCTGTCCTTTGAAATCCAAGTCTACTGTGAAATCAAGGTCTCGCTGCAGAGAAGGAGCAAAGGGTCACAACGTCAGTGTGGTGAGAAGTGCAGGTCCCACACCCCTCCCTGCAGGCAGAGGGATGGGCAGCTCCTAAGGTTTGCTGGCTAAGGAGTTCCTACCAACAGCCCTCGGGAATCTATTCTGGTGCCCCATTATCCTCACAGGAAGTTCTTTGATTCCTAACCTAAATCCTTCCTGTCATCATATAAACTGTTTCCTCTGATTTCATCCTGGGAGAATATAGAGTGGGGTGGGTGAGTCTCCTGCGGCATATCCCGCCAGGCATTGCCTACAGCCAGGGTGGCTCAAACAGGGAGAGTCACAGTGTCCCCAACCTATTAGGCCCACTGAAGAAATGCAAACCAAACTTCTTCTGGACCACCAGAAACTCTTATTTCCTACTCAGCTCATCCTAAATGAGATGAAACTGATGGCAACAGTCTCTGCTCTCAAAGCCCCTCTGTGAAGAGCTAGAGGCTGTGCTCCAGGCTTAGAGAGTCCAGGTGGGGAAGGATGGGTTAGAAAAGTCTCAAATTCCCAAGCTTTTAGGGGCCAACTCAAAAAGGTTGTCTAGTAAGATCTAGTTACTAGTACCCAAACCCAACTTCTTACTGCCTCATCTGGTAACTTTCCTGATTGTGCACAAGGCACTGAGTCACCTCGGTGAGTGGACACCTGGGACCAGCCCTGTGGTCCCTTCTCTCTGACCCTTGCCCACACAGAGACCATTTTAGCACTCACCACATTTTTGGCATTTGGCTTCATGGAGATGGACCCATAGAGCTCTTCCCCCCTCCGGACGGTGAGGTAATCTTCCAGGTAGAAGACGGTCTGCTTCCAGTGGGTATAGGGGGCATCAGGGGCTGAGGAGCAAAGGATGGGTGGGTAGGACGGAGCAGTCAGAGAAGACATCTCCAGAGGGGCTGAGGCTGGGACCCTGCCTGCAAGTCACTGGCTTTCCTCGGGACTCTAACCCCCACCCAACACTCTTGTTGGGTCAGGTACCAGCTCCGAGCCCACACCAGAACTCCTCCTCAGCCTCAGGGAACCCCTCTTTTCATCAGATACCCACCCCTCAGGGCTGTGGGTATTAGCTGTGGATCATAAGAGAACAAGCTGATACTACAATTTCATACAAAAAGGTGGAGGATGAATACCCTCTCATCAACACAAATGAATCTCAGAGTGCCACTGTGTGTGTGTTTTAGTTCAACAGAGTGAAGACTTTCCAACAGTGTAGGGGAGAAATTCATAGAGTAGGGCATCCTGTTTCCCCTTAAATGATATCATTTATGCAAACACCACAGCTAACCCAGTTTCCCCACTTCCACTGCCAGCCCAGTCTTACAAATAGCTTTCCCTGCCAGCCTCTCTGCCCTAGAACCAAAATTAGTACCCTTGGCCCAGGCTCGCCAGGGGTCTCAGCTGTGCTGACCAACTGGCTCAGATAAAAATGAGGGATGATTCTCTTTCCACAGCCCCAATGCTGGGCCAGAGCCCACACCTCCTGCATGATCCAAAGCCACGCTGATACTTGCATCTCCTCTGTATTTGCCATTAAATCGCACACATCCCTCTTAGCACAGTGTAGATTCCACAGCTCCATGACAGGCATAGCTAATGGGTCATCAGCAGCAGCAGCAGCTGTCCCTGGAACACTCTTCCCCCCTGCTCCCTGCTCATCAAGCTCTCTCTTCCTCATCCTTCAAGGTCACTTCCTCTGTGAATCCCTGCCTGACCACCTGCTGGAAAACAAATCAGTTTCACTAAAAAAGAGATATTGACAGGAAGCCAGGAAGGCTGGTCAACAGCCTTAATTGTTCTAACCTTTAGTTGAGATATTGTTAGCTGAAGCAGCCTCCACCTTGTTTGTCCCGTATAAGTTTCTGTTATTTTCCTGCCTAAGGGCTACATGTAAATTTCTGTTTACGTTGCCTAAGATGTTTTCCCCAAAGCCTCAATAAAAGGGGATGGCAGGGCCAGATCAGTAAGTAGTTCTCCCAGTAGAGTTGGATTACCGTCTGGCCCTTCATATCGCCAAATTGAATTTCTTCAAGTCTCAAGTCTCTTCATTTGTGTGCGGCCCTTCTCCAGAACCCGGACCCTGAATTAAAACCCTTTCTACGTGGGCCATGAAAGAGATTCCTATAACCATCCACCTGGACTAGGGCACTCTGAGCCTATGTGACCAGGGTGTCTGTCATGGTGCAGCACAAATGTCTTTTTTGCCCACTTGTGTGTGTCCTCCCCAAGGATACAATCTCCATGAGGGCAGGAACCATGCCAGGCCTGTTCACTGTTATATCTTCAGTGCTTACCACCTCACATAGTAGATCTTTAAGAACTGAAAAAATTATTTGCTATAAAACCAGACTAGATAGACATCCCATGAAGCTTCAATGCATCCATAGATGCTCAGTTACACTGAGGGCTTTGAATCTAAGAACAGTAGAATATCCCATCTTATAGTCAGTTTCTCTTGGCCCTTCAGGCACTTCTCTTCCTCACGAGGATACAGGACTCATTAATACTGATTTCCTCTTTGCTTAGGACCAAAGTTAAAGATGAGACAACTTGGGGGAGAACATAAAATGGATTTTAAACACTACAAAAAGCTCTTATATGGAAAAGCTCATGTGTGACCTTAGAGGCAGAACAAAGGTTAGTCGGTGGAAATTAGTAGAAGGCAGACTTTAATTCACCAAAAGAATTAGAACTGTATCACAAGCTTATGAGCTATCTGTGGTCCACTGACTTGGGATTTATCATGCACCAAGTCAGATCAGGTGACCTCTATCATCTTTCAAGCACCATTTGAATGGTGATGAAGACTTTGTCTTTCTTTGCCCTTTGCAATAAACTGGCTTGATCAAATATCAGTGGTTTGAATTCAGACATGAGTAGCCTTCAGTGTGTGCATGTGGGAAATCGATGCAAACTCAAGGTCCTAGAGGGGGAAGAGCAGCCTGAACATTTGGAAGGGCTTGAAGGAGGATCATGGGCATGCAATCTGTGACTCTCCCATCCTGGATCCCCAAACACATCCAGCCTTCCTGTCCTCTAGTCTAAGGCATACTGCTGTCCACAGATGAAGTGTGCCTATCTCCAGCATCTTCCCTGCCAACTACATCTAAATAAATTGTCAAAAGACATTCTCCAGTGTGTGTGGAGAAGAACAGTGTATGACTGACAGTACTCTCACCCCCATTTCCACCTACAGCAGCTCAGACAGTTGTCTCTCCAGGTCTTATAGACCTTCAGGCAAGAGGATTCAAGCACCTTTCTTCTTTTACCTAGTCAGATGCCTCATGAGAATCTCAGAGACTTCACAGGCTCAGATTTGCCAGCCATCAAGCCTAGCAGTCTGACTCTGATGGTAGCCCCCGAAAATATGCCAGCCTTGGGTTGGAGGAAAGTGATCTTTCCCCTGACATCAACATCAAAAGGTTAAGAACTTTCCCATGGTCTCATTTCCATGATGAGTTCATTACCTCTGGACTAAGTAAACCAGTTTACTCAGTCCTGATCCTCCAATAAGATGTCCAAAATAAACTTAACTAAAATTCATCTGTTTTCACTCTATTAGGAATTTGAATTCAGTATTTTTGGGGTGAAAAGGGAGGGAGCAGGTTTGCCAAGACTTAATTGTCAGTGAGCAAATCTTTTTTTCTCCTCCCCTGTCCCCAGCTTTCCCTGTTATGAAGATAACCTTCATACTCAATATCTAGACCTCCTTTTCTCCCTCCCTGAGGCATCTCCCCTCACAGTCTCTCTGGGTTCTGGATTATGGACAGCTTGTGTTTTGTATTTTGAAGTGATTGTGATCAATACTGCCTATAGGATTCCAAGTGTATATTCATCCATCCATCCATCCATTGATTCATTCAATAGACATCTATTCAAGATGCCTCTGATTGCCAGATATGGTCCTAAATTTGGGGAGCAGCAACCAGTACAGCCTTGCCGCGCCCCCCCCCCCCCCTTTACCCTCTTGCTCAGATCCTAACCCTCTAAGTGAGAAGACAAGTCTGGCATGAGTGTGACCACAGGGGCCATGGGAACAAACAGCAGGGGTTTCACAAAATTATTCCTGGTGCTTTCGGAAAGAGTGGAATCCTGCTTTCAGTTTCACTTCCCAATGGGTAAGTGGAATCTAATGCTCTTCCCATTATAAACCAAGAATTAATATTGATCCAGTCCTGTACATCTGGGATCTTTAGAAACAGAAAGGAAATCCTTCTTGGTGTCAGAGTGCAGAGGGTCTGTGTAAAGCCCACTGCCAAACTCTTGCTAACTGGTAAGGACATCTGCTATGTTTGGGAAGCAAAACCCCATGCTGACATCTCAAGGTGTCTGAGAAAGCAACTAACCAATTTAATTTCCCCTGATAGCTGTGTATGTGGAAAGGCTGCAGCAGGAGGGATCCGTCAGCCAGCAGGCATGCAGTCAGAAAGCATACTGCAGTCAGGAGATGGAATTGCCTTTCCAGAGGACGTCAACACTGGTGAGGCAGGCTTGCACAAGGGCATTGGTTTTCAACCTTGATCGTGCTTCACATTCACCTGGAGAACTTAAGGCACAGATTCCAGAGCCCCACTCCAGAATGACTGACTCAGTAGGTCTAGGGTGGAGCCGGAGAATTTGCATTTCTAACAAGTTCCCAGGTGACACTGATGCTGCTGGTCCATGGGCCACACTGGAGAGCTTCTGCTCCAAAACATAGGAAAGGAGGACTACAGAAAATCCAAATGTCCATTCAGAACCCAAGTTCCTGAGATTCTGTGCACAGGGGAGGGAACATAATGCCATGACTGCGAAAGACAAAGAGGCATGCTCAGACCTTGAACTGGACCCAAGGTCTTTGAGCTTATAAAATATACTCATTATCCTCTTTCTCCTAAGGACTTATGTGGGACTATGGTGGGAGTGACCAGGAACAGGAAAGAAAGGAGCTATGGTTGGAAACTGAGCACTTAAAATTCTCACCATTACCCAGGTAGCACAGGGCTGACTTCTTTGATTCTGAACTTGAATTTAACCAAGACTCCTGCTTGTGAGAGGGGCATCAGGAATGTTGTCCCCGCCACCACAGAGCCAGAGAGCCATTTCCAGACAGACTTCCCCAGGCTGTCTGCTTAACCTCAAGGAGCCCAGCTGAGACCTACAAGGCTGGAGCCCAGGCTTTCAAAAGCCAGAATTTTCCCAGACTGCCTTGAAAATATGTCAGCCTTGGGACCGACAGGTTGAGAACCGCTGCTATAGATCCTAAGACCATTGGAAAACACAGATATTTACATTACGATTCATTACCAGTAGCAAAATTACAGTTATGAAGTAGCAACGAAAATAATTTTATGGTTGGGGGTCACCACAACATGAGGAACTCTATTAAAGGGTTGCCACATTAGAAAGATGGAGAACTACTGGTCTAGGTAAAACCTCGCTGCTCCCTCCTGGCTGTCCCTACCCACTAAGAAGATGAGCTTGCAGGCTGCCCTTCTCGGAATGGTAACCCCTGTACCGACCCAGACTGGACCTCTGGTTTCCCCAGGGCAGGGAGTGCCAGCACTGGCCTGGCTGATGGAGATGAGAAAACCCTGGTATTGGCAGTGGGAGACACTGGTTCTGGAAAAAGCCCTTCTTTAAGGGATTAGATAAGTCCTTGCTCTCTCTGACAACAGGTAAGAGAGGAACATTGTCATCAGGTCTTTTGAAGTGAATAAATCACATCCTTGAATTCTGGTAGAACCCACCAATTCCTGCCATGTGCACGTTAACCCCAACTGCGTGCTCCCAGGTCCCAGGGTGACCCCACGTGAGTGGTGACTCTGAATACATTCCCATAGAGATTTGTAAGATGGTTTTGTGTTTTTTTTAAATAGAGATTTGTTTAGGATCTGCTATGATCCAAGCACAGCCATAGAAGCCAGGAGAGCAGAGACTAATGAGATGTGATCCAGACTCACAGGGAGATCAAAGATTGCAAGATGGGTGGAAATGTTGAATAAATGATGGCACGCTTTACATTGAATTTCTGTGCCATTGTTTAAAAAAAGAAAGTAGATGTCTCTGTGACGCTATGGAAGTACCTCCAACACATCTTGTTAAATAAAGGAAAGGTAGCAGAAGGCAGTGTACAAGCTGTGTTTTTTTAAATGCTGTAGTTTGATATTGTACTCTAGTTATGTAAGATGCCACCTATGTGGAGAGCTGGGCATAGGGTTCACAGAACTCTATGTGCTATGCTTGCAACTTCCTATGAGTCTATAATTATTTCAAATAAAAAGAATAAAAAAAGGTGTATATAGATATGGATATGCTTGTGCATCGCTGAAATTTTTGGAAGGATACAAAAGAAATCCTTAACAATATACGCCTCTGAGGTGTGAAACTGGGGTGAATGGGGAAAGGACTTTTTATACCCTTTGGTTCCTCTTTGCTATTGTGTATAAGCATCACTTTAAACATGGCCATGACAGATCTAAGCACAGGGTGTTAGGGAACCCGAGGAGGACATCTAAGCTTGACCCAAGAGGGAAGGAGGGGATCAAGTACTACAGAGCTGACAGATGAGGCCTGTAATGGGGTGGGCCAGGTGAGAAGGTGGGGGAAGAGGAGGTGTTATGGGTTAAATTGTGTCCCCCAAAAAATTCACATCCTAAACCCCTAAATGCCAGTACCTCTTAATATGACTATATTTGGAGCTGGGCCTGAAAAGAGGTGATTAAGTTAAAATGAGGCCCTTATGGTGGACGCTAATCCAATCTGGCTGGTGTCCTTTAGAAGGAGATTAGAACATACACGGACACCAGGGATATGTGCACATAGAGGCTATGGAAGTACCTCCAACACATCATGTTAAATAAAGGAAAGGTAGCCCACTCCTCCAACCTCATTTCTCACCCCTCCTTTGCTTTGCCTTCCACCCCTGTTCCATTCACACAAAGCACTTTTGCACTCATAGTCCCCAGTGAGGACACAGGGAGAAGGCAGCCATCTGGAGGAAAGGACATGACAAGAGCTTCTGACATAATGTTGTTCCCATGGCACACTGCTGTGGACACAGAGTTGGGATATGCGAGGCAATTCCCAGAGACTTGAGTAGCCTCACTGAATTCAGGGAACTGCAAAGTGCTTTGTGTGAATGGAACAGGGGTGGAAGGCAAAGCAAAGGAGGGGTAAAAATGAGATTGGAGGAGTGAACTAGGGCCAAGTCTCCAAACCCCCACGTACCTGGCTAAGACATTTGGGCTTATCTTCTACAGGCAGAGAGACACTCTGCAGGAGGGCTGAGAGAAAGAATGTGGTGGTCTTTGGGAATTAATGAGGATAACTGAGTGGATGTAGTGAGGAAAGCAGGACATATAGAGACGCCACTTGTAGTCTACTGAATCTGCAGTGAGGCATGATAGGGGATGCAAAACCTAATTCCACTGTTTTCTTACCCCCTCATAAAGTATGCTCTAGAAATGCTAAATGAACAAATGTGCATTTGCAAAAAGGCCTAAACCCCTGTCTCTCTTCACTTAATGCTCTCTCATAACTCCTGTCATGGCAGCCACAATTTTATTTACCTTCTCCTTGGGCAGCCAAGAGTTTGGTGACATGCAATTTTCTCAGATTACTTCATAGCTGCAGATGGCTTAAAGATGCCAACTAAGGGCCCTTGGCTAATGTCCAAGTCCTTCCCCCAAGTTGGGGACAATCTTGTGTCACTCCCCACAATGCCTCAGTATGGGGGAAGGCTCACCTGTAGAAAACCCCATTTTCTTGTGGCACTTGGTAAATTCAATATTAAAATAGGTGACCAGGGCGTGGATGTAGTCATTGCGCTGGATCTGCAGGCAGAAGGCAGACGTGAACGACAGCTCTTCCGTCTTGACTGTGTAAATGTCCACCTCCTGTAGCCCAGAGAAGAGAGAAGGCAAGACACTTAGCACCTCCACCAGGTTTGTGTCCTGGTGGGCAGCTGCATTCTTCAGGAGACTGCCTACTGTACACTCTCCAGGATGTCATTACTTAAGGGTGACTCCCCAGGCCCCTCCCCCCATTACCCCCTCCATCCTTTCTAGGGTGGAACAATGGGACAAAAAGATATGAGTCAGAACCCAGGGGGAACAACACTAAAGGGGTAAATCTGTTGGGGGTGGGGCTGATGGGGGGAGGGGGAGGAGAAAAGAAGCTTCATTAGACCGAGCAACTCTAAACCTAACCCAGATGTCCTCAGAGTGGTTCACCTCAGCGTCATTATGTTCATCTAGTGGTTCTCACAGTGAGGTCCCAGAATGACTAGTGTGGGCATCACTTCAGAACAAATTCTGAAGGGAGGGCATCCTAGCCCTACTAAACCGGAACAGCAATCTGTGCTTTATCATATTCTCCCAGTAATGGGGGAACCAGACTTTCATTTCCTAGATGTGTGATATTTAAACAACTGGCAGTAGGAGACAAGTATTATCACAAGAATGAGGATTGAGCTAAAGGAAGTCCTGCTGGGCATTTATAACAAGTCTGGACAGTGAAAGGAAGAAAGAGAGTGAGAGCGAGAGCAAGAGCAAGAGAGAGAAAAGGAAAAGGGTAAATAAGTAGTGAGAGTTTTCCAGTTCTGGCTGAAGAATGAAGAACTAATAATTCTAACAATTTCAGCTGTGAAGTGGCTGAAAATCAATCTTGTGTGAGGAGCTAGTGTAATAAAAGTTTCCACTGTGCTGTTCTTTTCTATGTGAAGAATGTTAGCTGCTGTTTGCTGGTTCCATTGAGACAGGGGAAACTTTTCAAGAGTCCAAAATTCATCCAGGCAGCTTTCAGTGAGGTCTAAGAGAGGAGTTCTCATGGTTGGAATGTGTAGCAAGAATCTCTGTCCTGAGAACTGCAAAAGCCAGACATCTGTGTGTCTGGGATGGTTCTCAGAGGAAACACTGGGAATACATGTTGGGAATAATAAAACCTGTTGGCAATCAGTAGGACAGGAATCTGAGGGTGGGAACAGGAATCTGAGGGTGGGAAAAAAGAGCAGGGAAGAGACAAAGTAAGGTAGCAGAAATGCCCTTATCTCTACATATTTCCAGGGTAAATAAGTGAAAAGCAGATGCACCTGGGGACCTTCAAAGAGAAGTCATACCTCCAGGGGACAAGGAGGAGGATGTGTAATCAAGGGAGCCAGCAATCAGATCCCTGTGATGTCTGGGGTGAGCAGCTTTAACATCCCCCGGGGAGCTAAGCTCTGACATTAGTTGGGAAGAGGTGGGACTACAGGTTTAAGGGAATGTGGGAGCCCCAATAATGTTGAGAACTAAGGGAATGATGAGCCCTGAGTTGGCCATGCAGAAGTAGAAAGCCCCCTGAATCCAATGCAAGAGCCCCTCGGAAGCATTCCCAGGAAGTAGCAATCTGGTGCTTGCTTGCACACCTTAGAGATGATGCATTCACTACCTACCAGGCAACTGATTCCATTTCCTAACACCTCCAATTGGTGGATCCCTCTATGTAATGAATGAGAGCCTACACCAGTCTCTGTAATCTCCACCCACAGAATAGGCTGAATGCCTGTTCCAGCTCACACCAAAACCTTTTCTTCTCCAATTGCCTCTGTTTTTCCATTTGCTTTTCCAAAGTAATGCTTTCTGACTCCTTCAACCAAGCCTCTGACCTCAAAGAACACACTGCTGGCTCTTCCTGCATTTATTCAGCCAACCGCCTCCCCCAACTTCATCCTTCTCACAATCCTTTGTCCTTTCTTCCTGAGGCCCAAGTGCAGGGTCCCTCCATCATATGTCATTCTGTTAGTTTGGGCCATCACCCCCTTTCAGGAAGTCTCTTTAGATCCAGTGCCTGTCAGCCTTCATGTTGATCATTATCCTTCCTGGCCACGTGTTGTCCACAGGTTTCCTCCGGCTCAACAACTCTTAGAGCAAGCTGAACTGGCTATGTTTGTATTAATGGCATCAGCACAGTCCACCAGGCTCCCAGTGCCTACACTCACTGACTTTTCCATCTTCTTAGTCAGGGCCAGCTAGCCAGGCTCCAGGCTCTTTCCAAGGTGTGTGGCATTTTTTTCTCTGTCCTCTCTGCCACAAGCCTAGCCTGGTCTTTTTACCCTACTTCTGGCTCATCCCAGCAGCCTTACCGCCTTTGTCTTACCCCTGCCATTGGACTAGAGTTCTGTACTGACAGAGGCTACACCTTACTGGTCTGTGTACCCTCGCTGTGTGACAGGTCTCCTATGTGACAACTGTCCTCCCTTTCCCAGGTCTCTCCTTTATACCAACTGACAAATCTCTCAGATCCATTCAGACTGTGCTGCTCCCTGCATCCAAAACCTCCCATGAGTACTCATGGCTTAGCTAAAAATATCCAAACATATTGACCTGAACACAGGAGGGGAGAACTGGAAAGTGGGCCCTGTGACACATCTAGACTGGCTCTTTTTCCTTCTGTCACTCCCCTCTCTTCACACACACACACACCCCACCCATCTATCAGGAATTATTTCCCTATAGGGTCTTGCTCTCAGCAGTCCATCAACCAAATGCCAACTATCAACAGTATTAGCTGACAGTGTTCACTAGGTCCTCAGATATTTGTATCTTAATGGGGATGTAAAAAGGAATAAAAGCCTCCAAAACAGAAATAATGGAGCTATACATTAAATGGTGCCGATGGAGGCAATGGGTCTTTAGGAGTGGGGCTTGGGCCATCTGTAAGAGTGGGATCAGCTGTGGCTGGGCTTCTGAGACACAGAAGCCCTCTGGGCTCAGCTCTGCTCTCCTCTCAGACCCCAAGTCTACAGACTCAAATGCAGTTATCCTGGCTCCCCAAATCCCAGACCCCCTTGCTGGAAGGTTGCTAACTGGAGTTGCTTATTCTTTTCATAGCAGCAACAGCATATCTGATACTCCTGGGAGACCCCATGACTTGGCCTCAGGTGACCCCATGAAGTGGAGGGCTCCACAGGCATTAATTACTCAGAAGAGCCCCTGGTTGCTGCTATCCCCACCACTAAACAATGTTACAAATGGTTGTCTCAGAGCAGAAGTCTGGTCAAAACAGAGTCTTAATTATAATAAAGTGTCACACTCTGCAGCGTTAATAGCATGAAAATAGCAATTAAGTGTGTGAATAAGGGCAAGTGTTTTCCCAACAGGCTCAGTAAGACATTTGCTTAGCACATTAGCAAGATAGCTGCTGGAGGGGAGCTCCTGCTGGAGGAAGCAACCACAGCCAGTCCCCAGCCTTCTCAGAGGTCAGGGAAGGGGAAGGGGAGGGATAGGACTGCAGCTCAGAGCTCCAGTCCTGACACCTCCTCACAGCCTCTCTGCCCCTCTGTAACAAGGTAGCGAGGAGCTAGGAAAATTCCAGAGCAGGAGGAATAGGGAAACTGAGACAAGAAAATTAAACAAGGCCTAATAAGTTTGGACAGCTTTACAGACAGTTTGCAGCAAGATCTTATCTTTCCCAGTCAAGGAGCTTGAGAACAAATGACTAATGTTTCTCCTCTCTCACCAGAGAATACATGGCTTAAATCAACCTGGAACTGCTAAGGCAGGAGGGGGAAAAGGGAAGGGAAGAAGGGAGAGTTTATCTCACCCACCAAAGAAGTCAGCTGTCTCAGGGTAGGGGGAGCATAAGGGAAGTTTTATCTCACACCTTAAACTATGGGTGGGGAACCTTTTTTCCTGCCATGGGCCATTTGGATATTTATAACATCATTCAGAGGCCATACAAAATTATCAACTTAAAAATTAGTCTGCTCTATTTGGTCAAACACTTAATTAACTCACCCCTAATGCCTTGGCAGGGCCAGACCAAATGATTTTGTGGGCCTTATATGGCCCTCAGGCCCGACGTTCCCCACCCCTGCAAAGCCAGCAGTCTTGGGTTTGTCAAGATAAAACTATAAAATGTTTCTCATAAATTCTAGGAAAGCCATAAACAAAGAAAAGGGAGACTTTGAAGCTAGTCTGTACCAAGATATCCAGCAGAGGAATTTTAAAACTAAAAGACAAAAAAGCACAAAAAGCCAAACCTCTACTAGGTGGGGCTCCTCAAATTAGCTGAGAGCTATCTGTGCTTCATAAGCCAGTGGTATTTTGATAGATTCGCGCTTTTTTTTGAGTCTATAATAAATTAACTTGCTTTATTTATTTAATTTATTTGTTTTACTACAACCCAACTGAATGGGGTCACTCATTTGAATTCTTTCCTATGTGACTGACAAGAACCGAGGAGGGGACAGCTCTCCTTCAACTCGGGGCTGTTGGATAACACCTTTTCTGGTATTTCTGGTGCCTGTAATGCCTTCTTCACTGAGTCTGGCTGTTTTCCCCTGGCTGCACAAAGGTGCTACGAAAAGAAAGTCCCTTGCTGGTTCCTGGCCGGAATGAGGCAGAGAAAGGAATCTAGGGTGCCTGGGCAGATGGAAGGAGGCCAGTCCACAGTGTGACCAGCAGATGTACAGTGTCACACCTGCAGATCAGGGACAGAAAGCCACTTGGGGCCCACGCATACTGAGGAATTTTATCAACAAGCTAAATGCATGACAAATGGCTGCCTAATGATCAAATAGAGTTGCCAAGTGCCATTTTGACAAATATAGTTGTACAGTGAATTCTATCTATTCCACAATAGCTACAGAAATGTTTGTACTATGGTGAGCATGTTTCACAGTGCATTTTCCTGGTTCTTGATTGGGACACCCGAAGGGAGAGGTTTCAGGGACAGAGGGGCTGATAGGAAGAAGTTAAAGGACACTTTAATCACAATCAATCCTGCCTGGACTTGGAACTGGCCCCATAAAGTAGTGAGAATTATGTCAGTGGAGAGTCTGAGACTTAGAGCCAAAGCCAAATCTCTTAGATAGAATGTTACGAGAGGAAGACAGTCTGCTGAGACCTGTGGGGGGCTCATCTTGTTTTATTTGCTCTCAGGGATGGTTCTAAATGTCGCAGTGACGCTATGAACCAAGGGTTGTGGTATTAGGAACACCATGTCTGGGGAGAAAGTACATTTCTCATCTGTCAGATCAGCAGTTTGCATTCGTCCTTCAGAAGCTTCCTTTCCTCCCCGGTGGCCCTGCACCCCTTCCCCTTCATGCACTGTAAATGTCCTAGTCCTCCGCAACTCTTCTTTTTCCAGAAAAAAGGTGATATGTACAGGACAGAGCAGGCAAGTATGTTTGAGCAAGATTAGGGCTGAGTGGGCTGATGAACACTTACATAAATTAATCCAGATTTTTAAATTAAAAAATCAGCTTGAATCATATGAAATTAATATCTTCCTAGCTTTTAAAAAAATCACATAGCAATGTTTATATGACTCAACATAATATATTAACATATATGCATTAACATATTTGCAAAGACTTAGCAAAAGGATTGGATAGCTCAATCCAAAGTGTGAACAGTGCTCCCCTCTAGGACTGTGGTCCGCAAACTGCGGCTCGAGAACCACATGCAGCTCTTTGGCCCCTTGAGTGTGGCTCTTTCACAAAATACCACAACCGGGCAAGTCTATTTTGAAGAAGTGGCGTTAGAAGTTTAAGTTTTAAAAATTTGGCTCTCAAAAGAAATTTCAATCATTGTACTGTTGATATTTGGCTCTGCTGACTAATGAGTTAGCTGACCACTGGTCTAGGAGGAGCATGCACTTGAAAGGGAGGGGAGGTTAAGGGGAGCTTTGCATTTTACTCTACCAAATTTGACTTGTTTGCATATTCAATGATAATGAGAACACGCTAAGGATTGATATCATGGGGATGTTGACCAGGAGTTCTGCATCTACACTAATGAAAGCTTTGGGGGGAAATTTTAGGTCATGTATGAACAAGAACACTAAGGTGGGTATTGCTGTCTGAACATCCCATGGGAGTGTAATGACAATTACACAACAGATTTCAGTACCGAAATGGAGTCGTTTACTCAAACCTCCTGCTTGCAGGGTGTCATCTCCTCTATTACCCCCTGCTCCCAACACCACCAAGGGACAAGTATTAACTCTCACAATCAGCTGTGCCACTGTGGACTCCAGTTTCTCTCTATATGATTTTTTGTCTGGTTATCTTGTGATGCCAAAGGCTCTGGCTAAGGTGTTCTTGACACCAGGCTGGAGCTGGGCAAGAGCTGCCAATGCCTTTCTCCAGGCCCACCATTCTCCAGGGTGGTAGAGCTGGGTTCCTGGCATGCCCACAGGGTGGCACAACAGGGTTCCCAGCATGTCCAGGCCCAAGAAAGAAGAGTCTGCAGACCTTTATTAAACAGGCATTGGTCACCACTTGCTTTGGGTCCACGATGTCCACCAGGGGCTCCTTCATGGCAACATCCCGGATGCAGCTCATGTCAAAGCCATAGACATTCTCCCACCCTGAGGGAACAGAGCAACACATGAGGGCCAGCAGCAGGACCCCCAAAGTCTCCCAGACCCTCCCAAGTACCAGAGCAGGGCATGCCCAAAAGGGTGAGGGGCAGCCCGTGCTCTCCCGCATCAGAATAGGAGAAGGATGGCTCATCTGGGTGCAGAGCTTTGCAATGTGCCAAATGCTCATTCACACTAGCTTATGTGTACAGGTCCCTCATTATAGAATAACTAAAGCTCAGAGAGGCTGGGTCATACAGCTAGAATGCTACAGGCCAAAGAATGGAATCCAAATTACCTGTCTTCCTACACCTACTTTCCTGTCCCCATCTCTGAACTAGCAGAGTCTCCTCTGAACTTTCTTACCTGCACCCACATTTCTATGTCAGTGCCTTTGCTCCAGGCATTCTGCACACCTAGAATGGCCAGCTCTCTCCCTTCTCCTGTCCCCACTCACTGAACCTTCAGTGCAGCAGAGAGAAATTTGGGCGTGTAAAGTGAAAGAGGCTACGATTTGAATCACAGCACCACTACTTATTGGTCAAGCCTTGTGCAAACTCCCTAACCTCCCTGAATCTCAGTTTTCTTATCTGCAAAATGAGGGGGTATCCATAATAGTCTGATCTCTCTCACATGCCATGATATTCTCAGTAAGAAGCTCTCCCATAAGAAATATCTCCAAGGTGAGGCACACACCACCCAGTGGTGCTTGGTGGCCTGGCCCCTTGGGCAGCTCATAATATGCTTTGATAGGAAGAAAGTTTTAGGGTTCAGGATTGGAGAGTAAATGAATGCAAATCTGATGGCCCAAGATCACCCTTAAATGATGATAATCATTTTGATCACTGAGTGATCACCAAGCCCAGGCCAGATTCTTCACTTCAGCTCCCCGGAAACCCCATGGGAATAGATACTTGTATATGTCAGATGAGAAATTAGGGCTGGAAGAAGTTGGCATCTGACTCTCATGCAGTGTTTGGCCCAATGTCACTCATCAGGGAGATGGTAACACTAGGTTTCAAACCCAGCTTGTCCCCTGACCGTGCAGCTGCACTGAGCCAATGTGACAGCACTGGGAATACAATTTCTCTCCGCACAATGCAGAGGGTGGCTTGCAGAGGCCTCAGTTACTAGGCAGCTGAACTCTCCTTTTACAGACAGGCTTAGAAATGCATTGAAGGAGAGATGCTTTGTTCTAAAATCTTTCAGGATTAAATTTTTTACACTGTTCATCAAATACATGGTATCTTAGGGAACTATGTCCCTCTAGGTTTGTGAGAGGGGGTGTGTGGGGAGGGAACAAAGAACAGCCAGTGAGAGCTGTGTCCCTTTGACTCACGCTTTTCTAAGGCACATAAAGACCTTCCTCAAGGAGAAAAGGCAGAGAACATAACCGTCTCCTAGAGGGTGAACACTGGTGAAAGTCTGGCTTGAAGATAAGATGCTAGTCATACCCCATTAAATCACCGGAGGCTGGTGCCAAATTCCCAATTGAAACATGCATTTGGAGAAGGAAGCTGCTCAGTCAGCAATAGGATCTGCACCAGACTCCCCTCTAGAACCTGGAAATACCTATCCATCCTCTTCCCAGAGAAACGTTCTCACTAAGACACACTGCCTTCGTCTGGAATCCTTCCTTAAGAGCCTGCGCCACGCTCCTGCTCTTATTCTCCTGTGGCAGTGGCATGAGTTGAATTTAGTGCAAGTGTTGGGCAAATACCTGAGAGAGTCTGTGCAAATTATAGTGAAAGGCCTGGGCTTTGGAGTTCAAATCTGGGCTTTGCCATTTATTTGTTGTATAACCTTCACAAGAATTTAGCCTCTCAAAGAGTGGCTTTCTTCTTCTTTAAAATGGAGATAATGATAACTTCGGTTGTTATGATGATTAAACGTGATAATAAGCATACAAAGCGAAGGCAGTGCCTGTAGAGAGAGGTTGACAGATAGTGGTTGTCATTATGTGGTTGGAGAGTTGGCTTTGCCACTAATCGAGCTGTGTGACTAGGGGCAGTTCAATCTTTTCCCTGAGCTTATTTGTGAAATGGGGAGTTTGGTTCACTAGTTCTGTGTTCCACAATCATATGGGACACTTTTAAAAATACAGATACCTGGGCCCATCCAGATCTACTGACTTAGGACCCAAAAAGCTGGAACTTTACAAATCCATACAGGCAATTCCAACCATAGTGTGGAAACTTGGTGTTAGGTAATTTTTAAAGTTCTTCCCAGTCCTCCAGGGGTGAACTTGAAGTCTCATGGCCTTGAATAAACCCTTTCCAGCCATTCCCCATTTTGGGACCCTCCTATCCTCAGTACTTACCACATAGCTTCTGGCTCAATACAGACCCACATGTAATGCTCTTTCATTCCCAAATATTTAGTGTCCTTACTGCTTCACAATATTCTGTATTTTAGGAATGTGTGTTTTTTCAGGGGTTAGTTCATTTCTTATGTCCCCAGCTAGACTACCTTCAGTTATTCAGGAGATAGATCAGCCAGGACATTAAATGTTCTCCTTTCCTTTCTGCTGACAATTCATTTCCCAAAACCTCTTTGAACATAAGTGAAGCAGAGATGGGAAACAATGCAAATCAAGCAGATTAATTTTTGTTGCAATTCTGTCATATCTATCAAATGAGTGAATGTGGATTAAGGTCCATTTGCTACCAGGAAATATTGCTATTAATATTCTGGTGATTTAAAAAATAACACCAGAAATATCTGTGAACTTTTGTTTAAGGATTGAAACAAACTCTTTAAAAGAACTGCACCATGGTGCAATGAATGTAACTAAAGCAACAATGAAGCCCAGGCCTACCAAAACTACTATTAAGTTGACTCAAATCACTACTTTAATAGCTCAGTAGAGAAAAAGACATGTTCTTTCCTGAGGATACATATTATTCATCTATCTCTACTATTTTTTTTTTTTTACTGACAATTTCCAGCATTAATTTAAAAATTACAAAACACATGAAAAAGGAAAATTATGTTCCATTACAAAAAGGGAAATAGTCAATAGACTCAAAGGTAGCTCAGATGTTGGAATTATTTTATTTTTTAAAATATATTTTATTGATATTTTACAGAGAGGAGGAAGGGAAAGAGATAGAGAGCTAGAAATGTCGATGAGAGAGAAACATCGACCAGCTGCCTCTTGCACACCCCCTACCGGGGATGTGCCCTTAACCAATGTACATGCCCTTGACCGGAATCGAACCTGGGACCTTTCAATCTGCAGACTGACACTCTACCACTGAGCCAAACCGGTTTCAGCCAGATGTTGGAATTATTGAACAAAGACTTTAAAGTATCTATACTAAATATGTTTTAAAATCTAATGGGAAAACATGCACAAAAGATACAGAATTTTATTGATGAGATGGAAACTATACAAAAGAGACAATGAAAATGCTAGAAATGAAAATCACAGTATCCGGCCCTGGCTTTTGGCTCAGTGGATAGAGCATCAGCCTATGGACTGGAAGATCCCAGGTTTAATTCCAGTCAAGGGCATGTACCTTGGTTTCGGACACATCCCCAGTAGGAGGTGTGCAAGAGGCAGCTGATTGATGTTTCTCTTCCATCAATGTTCCTAACTCTCTATCCCTCTCCCTTCCTCTCTGTAAAAAATCAATAAAATATTTTTTTTAAAAAAAGAAGAAAATCACAGTATCAGAGACAAAGAAATGTTTCAATAAGCTTATTAGCAGAAAGGATACATCTATTAGAGAAAATAATGAATAAACTTGAGAACAGGTCAATAAAAATTATCCAAACAAACATATAGAAGAAA